TATATATATACGTGTGTATATTTATACAGGTATATGCAAGTTCATATGTCTCTTCTTTTGTACTGTTCATGAGTTTACAACGACTAGTCCTCGTCTGACTCAGATTTTTCATCGTCGCTGTCGTCTTCTTCCTCACCATCCATGGAGAACACCCAGAACAACTGCAGTGCGATGTTAAATACAATTGAATTTGAATAAAGCACCGATAAATTATAGAAGTGTAACTGCGTGAATATCTTCTACAAACAAGTTTTTGTTCCTTCAAGCATCTCAATTTCTGGTTGTCCGCATAAATTAGCGAGTGTAGCGATCTACAGGGCAGCTCAGCGAAACATGTACTGTCATATGTTTCCACAAGGCAAATGACGATATACCATACGAGTGAGGCATATATAATACGTGAGTATATGCTGATAACAAGGATACTTTGATAATAGCAATGCACTATCGAGTACAATGTACACCGCCACCGCTTTCGTACACTCATACCATGTACTTCTGCTGCGTTGAACATAAGGCCACCAGGCGAATAAGTACTACATTGCATGTTCATTAACTAACACAAAGCACACAGTCAGGACAAATTTCTTATCCGACACAAGGAACACACAGCACAACTATGCGATTTTCGATTAGTCTGAATACGTACATGCCCTGAGCTGTCAAGCACACCGCTAACCCCACGTGCACTGCAACAATACACTTTCGCGGCATTGTACATAGTCAGTGGTCGGGCGAGTGGGACTGTCTCACCCACACGCAGTTGAGGGACGCTCCCTTTGTCGCTGTCAAAGCTAGAGCCCAAGGGACTGTAAAGATAAATAGGGGCGAAAAACGGCCTACAATTAAATATATATGGATGCGCATGTCATCCTATCACTGCACAATCATGTACAGGCCCTCCTTGATTTTACAACTATTGGTAGAATCGTTCATTGTAAAAATAGATCAGCCACAAGCAATAGCTGGACGCTCGCAGTGCTGCCGTTAAAGAGATCAAGGGAATGAAGAACAGTTGAGGGTCACCAATTTACAAGCTGAATGTATGTATGTATGTATGTTATATATATA